ATGGACAAAAATAGTAATGTATAATAAATTTTATTTTGGGCCACCCTAAAAGAATTCCTGGATCCGCTACTGATGGATGGGTAATAGCTTTCAATTTTAATTACTACTAAAAAGCAATAATTCATTACCTATAATAATGTGTCTAATTCAATTTATTGGAGATATAAGATCAAATTAAAGTTTGAGGGTATTTATATTGTCATCCGCAAGGTTTGGCATAAAAAAAATTTTACTATAATTTTGGGTTGCATATTGAAAGGTTTATATCATTTAAATATAAGATATAAGACATAAAAAAGAATATTTATATAAAGATAGACAGGTTGTCTTAGAATTTTTCGTATAAATAAATGCATGACCTTTTTTCATACTATTATATTTCGGAAGTAAAAATGGTTAATCATTAGTCAAAATATTAAGTTTATTAAAAAATAATACTAGACGTATAATAAATCTTAAAAGATTTATATACAAATTGATGTACAGATAATGAATGAAAAGTGAATATCAAACTCATAATATTCACTTTTCATCTTTTTTGGCACATCATACATCAGTTTATATAAAAATATCTTCTAGTATTAGTTCAATGTGTATTTCTTGCTTATCCAATTTGGGATTAGCGACCTAGTTTCTCAAAACTAGGGTTAAGGTTTTATATGGAACCCTAAGATGGCAACTTGGCAAGTAATTAATTAACCCAAAGTTTAATGGTTTGGTAATTTAAATTATTGGTTTTAAACACATAAACGATGGCATAAGTATGATTAGGACCCAGTAAACATTAATCTAATAGCACCCCCGACGTTGATAATTAATATTTCAATGTTTTTTGACTTATAATATATTAAAATGCATCAAACAACTATCTCTGTGCATAGTTTGACAATCTACCTAATTGATTTTGATTAACAACAGTAAATCAGAATTATCTTTTGCTTAATTACAAATTAACCCAAAATATAAAACCATCAATGTCAAAATAAAATAAAAATAAAATCACTGTGATAATCGTAGATGCTTAGGATATGAAATGAGAGGTCGATATGAAGAGGATAAAATGAAATAAATAAGATAATATAATAATTAATTATGATTAAGACGAATATTGGTGGTGATAATTCAGATTCAAGACGAACACAAAAGAAAATAAATTCAAATATTCCTTTCAAATTAATTAATACAAGCCCTATCATATCAACGGCTTCTTATCTTCGATATAATTAAAATTATCATTGAAAGATTATGTCTTTCCCATTGAAGAACCTAAAATACAGTGCTGTTTTGCATACCATATTCTCGAAAAAAATGGTGTAGAAGAAGTTAGGTACTCGGCTCATCCCCTTCCAACTCATTCCACCACTTTCTGCTTCCCCCTGACAGGATTTTCGCAAGTTCGGATTTTCGCAAGTGTTCAAATCGTACAAATAATAAAGGAAAAATAACGAGTGTGAATCCTAAGAGAACTATAATACCAAGTACCAAATTAACATATTCTATCACTATTTGATAATCAAATTCCTTAAGAAAGAAGTAATGAAATTAACACAATTAAAAATTAAATAGCCGCAGAATTTTTATTAAAACTTTGGTTGAAAACCAATACAATTAAACCTAGGGCATAGATTTTACACCAATTTAATCTTATACATTGACAATTATTACTAACCTAATTAAGTTTAATCTAAAGGCCAAATTCCCTAATATTTCACTAATTTCTCTCAAACAATACCGGATTAACCCTTAATATCAACCCAAGATATCTAAATTGAATTTAGAAGATAAAAATTCATTACGCTTTTAGAATTTACCAGAGTCTCATAGATACAGTAACCTATTTTTAGTGTTTGCTCAATCTATGATTTTATTACCTTAGACTAATTAGGTTTTATCTCTCGATCAAGTAAACCATAAAATCATTCAAATCCATAAGAATTGAAAGCATTACAATAATATAGAACTTAGAACAATGCTAACTAAAATAACAATAAAAATCAATACATATTCATAAATTATGCTATATCTAACCCTAGAAAATATATTTAGTTCATACTTTTAATAAAAACAACCAATTGTATATAAACATGAGTACAAGAAGAATTAGAAAAAAAAATTCTCTAAGTGGGAAACAAGACTCCAAGAACTTTAATCTCCAAAGAGTGGTTAAACTTCTCCTCTCCCTCTCAATTAATGCTAAAGATCTCTCTTATATCATAGGGTTTTAAGAGTTTGATTAGGACAAATTCTATTTAAAATAATACAAGAAATTGGACTAGGCTTAACACAGCCCATATAGGCCTAGGAAATTGTTGCGACGCCGACAGAAATCTTTGTATGACATGCGTTTATTCCTCCCACAAGTCGATATCTTTGAATTTGACGAAGTCATCAACATGAGAATTATGCTCTCTAAATCAGCTTTCCAACATCATAAGAATCATCCAATTCCGAGGTTCACAACTCAAGTTATGATCAAAATACTGAAGCACGTTCATTATTGAAAAGATTTCCAAGATTCGAATTTCATCTAAAAGCACCATACTTTCTAGTTTCAACTCGATCTGTTTGCTCCTAATTGTCACAAATTCCATCGATATCGTTCTTTTTCATCCAAGTTATCCTTCTTAATCATTTATGACATGAAAATACTCAAAACACATATGTGATCTCATAAAAGATATTTATGGAATAAATAAGTCAAATTTCACAATTTAAACAAATTTACCCTCAAATTATCTTAATAAATCACTCAATAAACATGTATTTTCAAGCTCAATTATCATCCTCGAATGTGCATGACGAAGAATGGAAAGTGGTCCTAGAGAAGGCAATTTTTAGCTTCCCAGAATCCCAAATCAATAGAAATCAGGGACAGAGAATGGAATCGTTTGTTTATTTGTTGTTTATTAATGATAATTAAATAAATGAGAATTCAAAAGGATTAAGAAGAAGTAAACTAAAAAGATTAGAATTTTTTTTTTTTTAATTGGGGTGTCGCTCGATAATCTTCAGGGAAAGTTATCTACAACAACCCACTGTGTCAACGGGAAATTAAACCTCAGAATATAGGTTTAGCCATGCACAACCCTCTTGGTTCGCTCTTGCTGCTGGACTATCAATGGAGGGTAATAGCTTTCAATTTTAATTACCACTAAAAAGCAATAATATTCATTACAATTTCCTTTATATTTTATGAAATCATGGTGCATGTAAAATTTTTTTTAATTGAATATTTTTAAAGTATATATATTAATTTTTTGTTTAATATAACAACAACAAAAAAAATACATACTTTTAAATAAGAGTCATGACATTAATTCTCCAACGTATTAAAAAATTCACAAATTTTAGGTAGGAAAATAAAGTAATAAACCGTAGAAGTATACTCTGTGAATACCCATTTGTTATTACATGATAGTTTAAGGATTAATTCTTTTAAGTACATCTTTTGAATAACTAAAAGTATTTTTGATTGAGTGATTTATACAATGTTGTTCACGAGAAGGATAATTATTGTTGATTGAAAAGACGTAGGCTTATCCGATTACTGAGTGTTTGCAGAAACATTCCTAAATCAAATCAACTTGGAGATTAAGGGAAAAAACTAAACATTTACAACGTTTATAATTTATTTCTTTACCTTTACTCATCATCTTCAAACTCAAATCTACATACCATTTATATTATCCCATGAATCATGAGTAGATCATGCAATATCCACGCAATAATAGATTACAGGTTATAGTGGAATTTTGATTTTCTTTTCCTTTTTCATGTTAATTATATTTCAAATTGGTTCAATAACTGAGCATAAATTATATAAAAATAAACAAATTGATTTGATTCGATCAACTACTATTATAGGTTGACGAGACATAATATGTAAGACTACGATCGAGCAGCTGGCAATAATATTGTAACAAAAACCACCCACATTTTAAAGGTTTTTTTTTTTTTTTTAAAATAATTTTAGGCATGTAGTCATTTTATAGTATAATAATGTGTCTAATTCAATTTTATTGAGAGATTTAAGATCAAATTGAAGTTTGAGGGTTTATTATATTGTCATCCGTAAGGTTTGGCATAAAAAAATTTTTACCTATGATTTTGGGTTGTCATATTGAATAGAGTTTATATCATTTAAATATAATGGTATAAGAGATAAAAAAAAATATATATATTTTTTATATAAAAGATAGACAGATTTGGCTTAGAATTTTTGGTATTAAATAAATGCATAACCTTTTTTCATACTATTATATTTCTCAGAAGTAAAAATGGTTAATCATTTAGTCAAAATTATCAAGTTTATTAAAAAATAATACTAGACGTATAAGCAAATCTTATAAAAAATTTTATACAAACTGACGTGACAGAAAATGAATAGAAAAATGAATACCAAACTCATAATATTCACTTTTCAATTCATTTTTTGGCACATCACTACATCAGTTTATATAAAAATCTACTTCTAATATTACTTCAATATGTATTTCTTGCTTATCCAGTTTGGGATTAACGACGCTAGCTTCTCAAAACTAGGGGTGAGAAATTATTGGTTTTAAACACATAAACGTATGGCATAAGTATGATTAGGACCCAGCAAACAATAATCTAAGAGCACCACCGACGTTTACAATTAATATTTCTATGTTTTTTGACTTTATAATATATTAATATGCATCAAACAACTATCTCTATGCATGGTTTGACAATCTACCTAATTCGATTTTGATTAACAACAGTAAATCAGAATTATTCTTTTGCTTAATTACAAATTAACCCAAAATATAAAACCATCAATGTCATAATAAAATAAAAATAAAATCACATGTGATAATAGTAGATTGCTTAGGATGTGAAATGATAGGTCGATATGAAGAGGATAAAATGGAATAAATACGATAATATAATAATTAATTATGATTAAGATATAATATTGGTGGTGATAATTCAGATTCAAGATGAACACAAAAGAAAATAAATCCAAATATTCCTCTCAAATTAATTAATTAATTAATTTACAAGCACTATCATATCAATTGCTTCTTATCTTCGATATAATTAAAATTTAAAATTAATTAACCCCTAATAATCAAAACAAAACTATCAGTTTCAATGCCCGTACGCGTATGGAGATGTTGCTAAAGCTCTGTGCTTTCTCTTCTGCAGGAAACGTTGAAGTGATCTCTTCATGGAAAGACCGGATGTTGAAGATGGGGTGTATAACGGAGACGGTAGAGACGGCGACACCGGTTCTGATCCTGTCAGCGTTTTCATTCTCTCTTCCATTTCCCGACTCGCCAGCGATAGAATATGTCTCGCCTGCATATAATATATTCGCAACAAATTTATTATTTATCTTAAAAAAAAAAAAAAAAAAAAAAAAGAACCAGACAAAAACGAAGGAGAAACGGTCAATTAATTACCTGAAATTCTGTAACATCGCAAACGCAAACCCTTCCATTGTAGAAAATGGTTAACTGTTGAGGCGGTTGATTAATGTGCGGGCTTGAACTTGACTCTTGATCCATTCTTCATTAACAAAAAGAAGAAGATTAATTGATTTGCAATGAGGTAAAGAAAATATACATAAAAAAAGAAAGACTGATCAGTGAGCTTACATGTTTTGGTTGTGGGGGTGGTGGAGGCCGCCGTATTCGGCCTCTAAGGCGGCGGCGGCGGCGGCGGCGGAAGGAGGAAGAAGACAAAGTTCCAAGTTGCAGTTCCGCTTCATCTTCAATGAAGTAATAATAGAAATAGGGATGAGAAGATCGATCTGTGAAGATTGAATATGGATTGAGATTTGGAGGAAGAATTGAAAAGAGGGGAGAGTCATATATAAAGATTGAAATTAGAAAGGTTTAATGAACACGAAACGCACGAAAACCGGACACAGAAACTTTCGTTGTTTATAGCACGTGGAACATGCTTTTTTTTTTTTTAAATTTTAGGTGCCACAAAAAACCGCCACGGTGTGTTAATTAGCTTTTCGTGTTTTTTATTTTTCTCGCACGTGCATGCTTTAGTCGACATGTGTTTCTTTTTGTAATTATTTTATTTTTAGGATTAGCGAAATTTATTTATTATTTTCAAACTAATAAATGTAATAATTTTCGGCTTCTCGATTTAATCTCAATGAACTCTTACCTCAAATGTTTGATTTAGTGAATGGAAGCTCATTCAGTCTTGATCTCTTTAAGGGTTCAATGTTATTAATAGGGGTGGTTATTGAAACTTTTACCTGAACTGATAATTTTAAGATCTCAGAAGATAGTTTTGATATATATATATATTGAAAAAAAAAATTACATTTATTATACGTTATTTGTATTTGAATTTTATGTGAATTGTTATTTATGACCTTTATTTATGGTATTAACCATATATTAAATAGGATATAAAGATAGTGGAAATCTTGTGTGATCATTGGAGATCTATTTAAAAATATTATATATTTTTTTCAAATGAATAATAATATTACATATTCAAGTTTTTTAATGGATGAATTATTATAAATATCAACTTAAAAAAAATATAATAAATAAGATTAAATAATAAGACATTTTTAACATAGAAAGACTTTGTATATATAGTATTATTCTTTTATGTATACATAATATTATTTGCATTTTAAAATTGACACTTATCCTTATTATAATTATCAAAAGTAAAAAGAATATATATACGTGTGTGTGCGTGCACGCTGTCCCAAAAATAAAAGAGTTTTTTTTTTTTTGTTAATTATGAACGGAAATAATTAGATATATGTATAAATATGTACGAGAATACGATGGATATTTACATAAATATATGTATTTGAAAATATATTTGACTAATTCTGGGGGTGTTTAATTAGATAAAATATGATGTAAAATGCACAAATAAAATGAGAATTAAAATACTTGGTAAGTGAATCTCACTTAAATAATTTCCATTAATTGTAGTTAGAACATGGGGCGGCCAGTGGCCCACTGCCAGTCTTCCCGACATTAGAAAAGGACGTGGAATGGAACGCGAAATTGCGGTGAATAGATAGAAGTCATAAAACGACAAGGCCAAAATGTGTTTCGCCTACCGTTGACAATGAGAAGCCAACAATCCAACATTCATAACATCAATTTTTCATCACCCTTTTTCTCTTCAATTTCCAAGTTCTTTCATAATTTTCTTATTTCTCCCATTATTAATTCTTATCCATTGTTGGTAATTTCAGTATTATTTCAAACAATCTTTTCTATCACATGTTTAAAATAATTTTTCACATTATATGATGTTATGTGTTGACGTTCGTTTTTGAGTGATTTTAATCAATTGTATGGAGTTTGTGTAAACCATGGGCTAAGGTTGAGTAAGAAAATGAGTTTGTTGACAATAAAGGTGGTTGAGTAGTTCGATAGAGACTCTTAAGTGTATTATTCAAGAAGTTTTGAGTTTAAGTCCATCATCTATTATTAATAGAAATAAACATTGGAACTATTACCAGATCAATAGTTTTAAGGTTCTGAGAGATTAATTGAGACACGCGTAAATTGGTTCGGACATCCTGATTATTAAAAAAAAAAAACTAGCACAGATATTTGTTAACGTGTCCTTGAGATTGTATCTTATTGGGTATTTGAGCATGTGAGTAAAATATCATTTCCCGCACGTGTTTTTTTTAGGGCACGACGGCTACTGAAGTGATGTTTGGTTTGGACAGAACAGAAGGGTTAGAATTAGAGGATAATGTAGTAGCCTAGTAGGGCATGAGATTGCGGCTTTGTCTTAAAAAGTCATAATTCAGAAGACAGCTCATTCTACGCAAACCTCACAACTGGCAAATTTAGAAAAAATTGTATGAAAAATGTGGAGTTGGGTCAAGAATTACATATTCAAAAAGTTCAAATCAAGACTATCTTAAAAGGGGAATTTTAGGGTTTCGTGATAATTAATTTATAATTTAAAATATAATATACATAGACAGATCGTGTTGGTTGTTGATATTAATTTAGTTTAATGGGTTTGACTCTTGTGATTTAATTAAATTACACATGGGTTTGACTCTTGTGATTTAATCAAATTACACATGTTTAATGGGTTAAGAACTTAAGATATATAAATATAAATTTTTTATTTTATTTTTTTATATTAAATCGTCTATCTTTATTATTTTAATGACAGATAACGACTTTTTCCCATTCAAATAATGGTTTAATAACACTTTTTCATCCACAGACTTTTAAAATACCATTTTACTATCTAAATCTATATCCGAGCAGTAAACAGAGAACAAACTTGGTCTAGGTTGTTGAGGCTTTTGAAGAGGAGAAGTCTATGAGTCTTTTGGTGGTGGAAGGTTGGATTTTGGTGATTGGGATTGATCGAAATTTGACTTGGGAGAGGCGACTGTGCAAACCCTAATCGCTCGAGATGATTACCTGGAGGGTTCAAGAGGAGTAGGGTTTTAGGGGTTTTGGTGAGTGATGATAGAGGAAGAGAATGGTGATGGTGTGGGCTCGCAACGATGCTGAAATCAAAACGAAATATAAATTTAAGTAGTAAAGTGATATTTTAAAAGTATATAGGTGAGAAAGTGTCATTAAACCATTATTTAGGTGAGAAAGTGTCATTAAACCATTATTTAGGTGAGAAAAAGTCGTTTACTTTTTTAATGATGATATAAAAAAAAAAACGTTGAATTAACATTCACGTTATATTAATAAAATAAATAACTAACAAATAGTATTAAATGCTTGTATTTAATTAAAGTATTAGGCTGTGCTCGGTACACTTTTTTTAATGGGATTTGTAAAATCATATTCTGAATACATTTTAGGATATGATTATGAGAATGTGTTTGGTACATTATTAAAAAACATTTTCTGAAAATATTTAGATTATTTTTTAACCCCTTACATTTGTTAATTTAGCTAAACACCCCATACAATAAAGTTTATAAATTAATAAAAACACCCCTACTCACCAAATCAACTTCCGGCAGTTGGCCACCGCCACCGGATGATGGTCATCAATCGCAAGAATTACGCACGACTAGTTTGATCTAGCCGATCGTGTGCCGATCTTACACTTTCTGGGCAAACTCACCGTGGATTTGGCTAGAGAATGTCAGATCTATGGCCAAGATATGGCCTCGTCAACGACCAGATCTCTAGCCATAGATCTAGTTGTTTTCGACCAGATTCACAGTGGATCTGGTCGAAAAAGGCAAGATCGGCACACGAACAGCTAGATCTAACAGATCGTGTATTGTTAAGGCACCGACGATGGTAGCGGCAACGGATGGTGGCAGTGATGTCGTCTGGCGGGTGATAGTGGCTTGGGTGGGTGAGGCTGTTTTTGTTAATTTATAAACTTTTATTGTGAAAGATAATTGTTAGATGTTTTGAGTTGAATAAAATATAATTGGATTTTGCATAATATTAAAACAAACACATTTTTCATTTTTTAAAATATGGTAGTAGAATATGATAGAGTGAAAATATTAAAACAAACGGAGCCTTAGGTATTTGAATTAATGGATCCTTAATTGTGTTGGGAGAAAATGCGATACACATTAGTTGAAGCACTTATCACATGATTTTGAAAAATTCAATAAATGGTATTATAAGTTATCTTTTATTTTGTGATTTCACGATTATTCCTTCTCATTAAATTAAGTTAATATATATCAACAGCTGCATACACATACATTAATTAATTTGATACTTTTCATCATGCGTTACACGATATTCCTCAATCCTAATTAATTAATAAATAATAATAATAATAGGATTAAACAAACTACATAATAATTTTTTATTTCTATAAATTATTCTTCAAGTCTCAACATCAAAGAAGACGTACCTAATTAATAAGAAATAAAAATATAAAAGCAAACTACATACTCTTGTGGATACCTATATAGTCAATCTTTTTTACTTTTCAAAGATTGTAGAGTTCGGCAAATATTCTAATTTTGAACTCAAGTTCGTAAAGCCAGTTCGAGAGATTTCTAGATTTATGGGTTCGATTTCTCTTATGAATATATGTGTGACCAATTTTATATTTTCAAGTGGTTGCAGAGTTTGGTTACTTCTAGAGATTCTAGATTAAAAAATGATTTCGATTTATTTAGTTTTATTATTAATGCACACATGAAAAAAAAAAAAAAAAATTCTACACAAACAACTTATTCATTTAAGTTTTTATAAATGTGTAAAAGTAATGTAATAAACCCACATTTCAGCACATTAAAAATCGGAGGCTCGTATACCTAATTTTTCATTTATTAAAAGAAAAAAGACTAAACCATCAGCTATAAAGATGAGTAGCTAATCAAATATAGGAATTATAAAAGAAATGCAGATATTGCATTAAAAACGTGAGAATATAGTGTGAGACCCTTCACGAGCTCCCACATGCCATTGTATTTGTAGGGCGTGGCGACTACGCATAAAGAAGAAGTGCTTCAATTCTAATTTCCAATTTTCTATCCAATTACCAAGAATTAGAGAGATTTGGTACAGTGCATCTATTTTTATCTATTTGGAAATCGAAGAATTTGGTTACATTATAGTATTAATGTCATTATGTTGAAGTGGACCACTAATTTATAATACTAAAATAAATACTATATATAATTAGAAGTCAATATTGAACACATGCGAGAAGTCCATTATTTTTCTTTATTTTTATTTTTTTATGATCGGAGATGTTCTCAACTAATCTTTAGAGGTTCTGAAACTATCAGTCAAGTAAAAACTCTAGTAGTCACTCCTATTAATAACCGAATAGAGACTCGAATTCAAGATCTTTTGAGTAATACATCCAAGAGTCACTATTAAACCACTCGGTCACCCAAAAGTTTGTTGATAAACTAATACAGCAACCCACAGCCATGACGCTCCACTTAAATCGTGGATGATCGGATGAAGAATCGAATCTAAAATCGTATGTCTATCTACACTATTCCTAATTTATCCTAACCATCTGAGCTATCCATAGATGAGATCATACTGAATTCTTAATAAGTCTATTACAAGTTCATAATTATAATTACAACGTTAAAATTCATTAAATATGTTGACTACAATCACACAACCTCGTTATAACTTGTAGAATCATCATCGGTGATAATCAACAACCAATTTGAACTATACACATCACTAAAAGGAAATTCCATAGGTTGATTAATGATAACGAATGATAATGCACAATTAGCACCATACCAATCAATTCGTTCAACAATGTAAGCAGTAACTAACTACCATTGAACTTCCTATCATTTTCATCAAACAATTACATATTATTGAATAAATATTCAATTTTATTATACTATAAAATTCATTTAAATATGAAATTGAATAACACTAAAGGACTTTTAAAAAAACTACGGGGAGGTGGGTGTGATAGAAGATGCCCAGAAAAATATGTTGTACAACATACAACAAAGATTTTGTAAGTTGCTTCAATATGATTTAATTATTCTGTTTAATATAATATTTTGGCTTCATTAGGCTTAATGGTTCACCGAATTTGACGTCTTTAACTAAAGAAAAAATGTCGGCTCTACTTGTTATCAGTTTGTAGCACCCTGAGGTTGAAAGCATTTTTTATAGTGGCTTATAAAAATAATGCTCTTACTGCAAGTAATCTGTATATTGTTACTTCTTCAAAATTTATTCACATCCGCATCCCATAATTCTTAATATGATAATATTATAAACATGTAAAATACACAAATTAATAAGTGAGAGTTAAAAAAAAAAAACAAAAACAAAAAAAAAAATATTCCAAGATTTTGATTCTATAAAAGTCAGTAATTTTTTTTTTTTTGTTATGATTGAGGTGTGTAGTTTGTTATGATTGAGGTGTGTAGACTAATTTATACGCACTTCAATTCTGAGATCCATTGAATATCTTATAAGATCGAAGCGTTCGAACTAGCTTACGCATACCTCAATTAATTTCCAAAATCTATTGAATATCCTATAAATTTAATGGACTAAATAAGTCATAAATATGATAAATGAACTATTAGTTAGCCTCCAATAAAAGACTCCTGTCTAACCTAAAGTCTTGTATTCCTACCGCAATCCCAAGTAGTTAAAGTCAGTAAATTTCATCTCATAAGTCGCTTCTTTACGACTAATTTTAAAACTTTTCTTTCATTTAACGGCTAGCAAATTGCTGCACGCAAGGGGCAATTAATTACGCCACTAGATTGAGTTTGAGAATATGTTTTCGAAAAACGCTTTATTACTGTTTTTCGAAGAAAACGTTGTAAAATGTTTTCATTTTTTAATCTTTAAAATCATTGTTTTCTATTAAAATAGATAAAGCGTTTACACTTACATCGACATCATAAAAGGTCACTTTTTTTAGCGTTTATACGCAGACAGGCAGACGACTTTGAAAACGAATAGTAGAATGAATTTAAATTATACAGCTGAATATGAATGGAAATTACCTCAAATAGTCAGAAGAGTTTGTTAATCGGTTGACCTATAAAAAAGCAACCAGGAATTAAATTCTTGAGTGGGGTCAGTCCTCCCAATTTACCTCATTGTAAACGTGACAACACTATGCCAATCAATTCAACATATAAATCACAAGGTTGTATGGACAAAGACAAACTAGGAAATGGGAATTCAGCCAACTTGACTTAAATGAAGCGCCGTATGATGTGAAACCATCTTGTATATTTGGAAATTAGGCACGAAAACTGCCAATATGTCATATGCTATCACATTTCATGCATGAAAAGAAAGAATCTTTAATAACATAATAAAAAAATGCACATCGTGGATTGAATTTGCAACATGAATTGCCCAAGTAGATGTCAAGAAAAATCGAACATAGCATATTGCAGCTCATGGGGTTGATCAAATCACGATGGAAATTTACCTAATGGGACAAATGCAGACCATTAAACTCAGATCCATGATCCATCAATGTCTTGCATTGCATGAAACACTAGCTAAATAACAAACCCACCAGTTGAGAAGCATGGTTGAAACTTGAAACAATGTGCTGTTGTCTCTCATGTATGAAGTTAGGTTCTTACCATTTACAGCAAAATATCTCTAATGTGGTTTTAGTACTTCTCAATGGTTGCTTCCGATGCATTAGTCATATCATGATGAAACAATCCCCTGTTAACACAAAGAAAATTGTGTCAAAAGGAGATGCAATTGATAATGTTTTAGGCAATAAAATTAACGAGTACTGGTATATTAGGGATATTTGTCAAATGAAGGGAAAAATAGTCATAGCAAACAGTGAAAATTTAGGGATGAGCCCTCAATGCAATGCTGATAATTGGTAAAGTTTACTACTGTTTATTAACAGATTAACAGCCATGATAAATGGCGCCCCAAAAGTTTATGACATAGCATCAAGCCCCATTGCTGAAGGTCAAGGTAAGAACAGAAGTTGAGAAAACAAGAATCATTGATAAATGATGGGAAACTTTACCAAGAGCAGGTTCTCTTTTGATAGCAATAGGAATCTGCTATGTTACATGGGGTTGGAGTTACCCCATGTGACAGCCCTTAGATCAAGGACAACCTTTTCCTGATGTCTTTGCCTTAATCCTATAAACTAGTATTACCCAATAAAAAAAAATTTAAAATAAAGGGAGGATAATTGGAATGGCCACATGAGTTTGAGAAGCATGTATGGTAAGCACATATCCTAGCAATCTGTACATATATTTATGCAAGAAACCGTATTCACATCAAAATTCAGGACCACAGACATGAACATGGTATCTAAAAAATCACATGACATGCAATAACCAAATAGTTCCCAATATTTAGTCCAAGCATGTAAGATTTGAGCCTAAATTTAAGTAACAAAATATGATTACTACAGTGCTAGTACCAACTATTAGGTTTGAAAGTGATAGAAAGTTATGCTCACAACAACAGCCACGAAAGAATGACTTAAAATGGAGCATGCCAGCCCAATCTGCAGATATCCTACCTTGTTTAACCAGGTTTTGCAAAACTATATATGAATGGAACACACCATCAAATTTTAACTCTGAAATCTGAACAAATAAGAAAATTAGATAGTTACATTTCACTGCCCCACCAAATCCTGCAGATTGAAAAGACACTACTGCAGATTCACAGGCAAGGTCTAGTCAGAAGTTAGGCTCCTAGTGCTTCTTCCTTAAGTTACTTTTTGATAGTCTTTCATGAGCTTACGCTAACAGGAGCAAGCCTCAGAATGCAAAAAAACTATCATCACAACCATCAGCTAAGGGAAGCTATTTATGACCTGAAAATCTATACTAGCTAATCCAATTACTTAATCATCTACAATCTCTCAGCAAAAGCAATTTTCATCTTTGTTTAAACACTTGGTCGTGTATCAGCATTTTTAAAAAATATTGCAAACTCGACATCCAATCAGTGGTAGAGCATTAAACTTCCTATAGTGGAATCAATCAAGGACTGATTTTTAACATCAATATCTGGTTCTACAGAAATTAAAAGATCCCAACACTTATAATAACATCGTAAAACTGCAATAAGTCAAGCTTGCAATTACGTTCTACTTTTTAATTTTTTGAGAATATTTGTTAATTTTCACTTAATTCTATTACTCCCATCATTTATGTTTAAAAGATATGAAGTTGTAGTAGTCAAACTACAACAGTATACTTAAAGGTTTTAAAACTTTATACTTAAAGGTTTTAAAACTCACATAGACCTCATAATTTTTTACCATATATAAATTGGAATAAATTCCCTGCACTTTTTTTGTGCAAATATACTTGAATCAAAGCAGAAGCATCCTCAAGATCATATTTTTCCGACTAAATATATGAAAGTTGGTAATCAGTACTCCAAATCTATTAAAACAGGTAAAAATAAACACATACACATGCTCAAGATGAAGATGACCGAAGAGGGGAAAAATGAGTGTAAACAGTTTGCCAGTACAGCTAGATCCATGCTTTACAGGATGACACTGTTTGATATGTATTTGCCATTTAAGTATTTCAATCAAGTCTAAAAATACACCCAAGTAATAACAGATTGAAAATTTGAGATGGGAACCAATGAATTCCCTCATTACAAAGGATTATCAGAACATTTACTTGCTTTACTAAAGAAAAAAGGGAGCTCAGTGAGTAACTTCCCTTCAAATGGGAAATACCATTCAGTCATAAAATATTTATTGCATACCAATGAGCGTGGCAAACCCCACATATATTGGTAACAAACTATACATAGGAAGAATAAGAAAAAGCATCTTTTAATATTGAACCAGACAACGTAAAGGCTTACCGATAACATTCAAGACCAAGGCCACTTAGCATCTCTCCATGCAAACCAACGATCCCCAATATTCCGGTCAGCCTGATATCTCAGATCACTTCCTTCAACTTGCAAATAATTATCATTATTGCCTCCAACAGCTGGACAGCATTGAAGTTTCTGATCACGTATCAAAGCTTCCTTCCTATACTCTGGGTTAGTATACCTAGGGTGTTGGATAAATGACAAATTTTTCCACCATAGCTTAATCGCCTAGAAAAACATGTTAAAAACAGATAAATAATTGATTCAATTTGAAGCACAGGGAAATGTATTTCATTTAAAGTGTTCATTAGACAATAGGTACAATATCTAATGGCAAGAAAATCAAGAATCTTTCTGAAAACTTATGTGGAGATGAAGTATATTGATAAAAAAAGGAAAATAAGTGCATTCTACAGGTTCCAAACTCATTCAAGTTCCCACTCAAGTTGCCATTTTTGCAGCTTATCCTGCAGTGAGCGTGTCTGAGAAATGCCAAAAACTCCAATTAAGCACTCAGATAAGGCTAAATTGAAGCCACCTTGAGTCAGGTGCACATCTTTTGATTGCATGGGAAAATTTTAGTTGATACAAGAAGCACAAATGGTGGCTCTTGCATCAGAGTAATGATCAAAATTTTTGTGTATCAGTTTCTGCTATTTTCAATATGTAACAACAAATCAAAATTATCACTAATGTGTCCCTCCTAGCAAATCATGAAAACAGTACTCTTGTCACTAATTAATGGCTTCTATTGATAGCTTTTGATTTGACTTAAAATTTTCAGCACTTTGGTCGGTTCATTAAAAACTTGGTTCAGTTTATGTTAATTTTGCATAAGAAGTAGACTGTATAAAGTAAAATTGGTTTCCCTTTTCTTTTCCATTTGTTAGCAGTATAGTTAAGTATTAAATTATATCAATTCTAGAATACAAACATACAGTTCTCTCAAAGAGGGGAACAAAATATATTACCCCTAATTCTTAATTTTGTGGTTCTTAATGTTGTTAGGAGACATTTATGAGTCAATCCAATCATGAAATGCATGTTACAGCAAAAAAATATTTTCCCCATGTAATATCTTTTGAAATCTCTAGTGTATCCATATTCTTTCATAGATTAGATGTTTCTATATCAAATGCATCACATTGTTTAACAATCTTTCAATTGGACTTACATGCCAATATATCCACAGTGCAACCTTATGAGGCATTAACCAGAAGAACATGGCATGATCAGACACCATTACTGAGGAGACCCTTTTTGCTCTCAAGGTAGCTACAAAATAGTCACCAAGCTGAGGATGCTGAACTGAGATTGATATATTTAAATTCTCTCCAGGAGAATTAGCCCTGATGTTCCAAGTCCCAAGCATATCCTGAAATTTTTGTGGAAATTATTGCTTGGTATCTCTTTTGTATAAGAAAGAAGAGCATAACCATGTTACATTGTGCATGATATGTGAAACTCCCAGATATAACATCAACAAAGCATGCCTTTTCAAAAGGCATGAATCTTGCATTACTCATACAATTTCAAAAATAGGATATTACTATATTTGAATTAACTAACACTAGTATCTTTTCCCTTGATTTGTACATGAGAAATCAAAACTAATATAAATCTGGACAAAGAAAATAGTAGCACTCATTACTAGATGTCAACCGTTTTGCAGGCCCTACTATGAGGGGATTTCACTGCAACCATTGTATCTTCCATTAACCATTCAATTTAACCACATAAAATACCTGATGATGCCATTTATTTTTCTTCATGTGAATCATTCATTGGAGAATAAGACTTGAAGTTCATTATAACTCTCTTTTATTTTGTCGCTACATCATGGCAACAATTCACTATTCTGCTGCCACTTTTAATCCCTTCATCAAAAAAAACAACTCATACCTATCGCTACCAATTTACTGTTCATGGTAACTGATCACTGGAAGGTTTGTTTCCCTATATTGCAACTCAAACAAACTCTTCTTTCATCCCATCAAAATCCTAAGTTTCCACAAATTATCTTTACCTGTTTCTGTTAACCAGCTAATCAAAAGCATAACTAAAATCCTTAATTTAGTTGATGCCCAGAAATGCAACCCAATTCCTCGGTGCCAGAAATCTTATCCTCCTTAAACATCAGTACAATCTGTTCTGTATCAACACAACACCTTGAACCATTCTACTAGATGTCTAAAGCCACCAAATACTGCCTTTTAAGCATTAGCCACCATAAATCAGAAATTTGAATTCTCTCAAAGTTGTACTTCATCAAGGATACCACAATGCAATCCCCTTTGTCCCCATGATTGGGCATGTCAACCAACACTTCCAGTTGATTCAAAATTTTCTAGTCATATAAGTAAGACAAGCAAACATAATTTTGACCTTCCTTTCCTTTCATCAAACCAAAAGCTTGGCAAGGATACTTATACTCTTTCTTTGAGAAAGCATTGACAGAATCAGTTAAATTTAAAGAAGACAGCCTATAGCATTCCAGAGCATATACAATTATATAGTGTAGCCATGTGTAGTGCTCCAGAACATAGTAAATTCAAAAGAATGTAAGAAAATCAATGACATCAACTAAATTTCCAAATATTATATAAAATATTTATCAATAAAGTATCTATCAGAAGCATGCGGTAGTGAAATTTATAAAATAAATAAATAAACAGTGCAATAGCAAAAGAAATGCAGAACCTACCATAAAAGGACTGACATGTAATGGTTTAGCCACCAAATCTGAATTGGGATTAAAAACAAATGTTACTCTTTCGCCCCATGGTGTATTAGTTACCTATAAGAAGAGAAACCGTCAATACCATCAGCAAAAACCTTCCAGCTTCAATCATCAATTAGATTGACAATTAATATAAAATCAAAATAAAGAAGATGCAGAAGCATAATATGCTTGATTTATTAAATGGATGGCCAATGACTTTAAGAACACCATGCTCCATGCACATTTCAAATTAAAGAAGCACATAATTTACATACCTCAGCAATGCATTTCTTCAAACACTGAGTAGAGCCTTCCACTTGATAGCAGTAATACAAACTCAAAGGATTTTGTTCATATCCCACACTACGAGGTATAGTTAAGAGTAAACTGCAAAATGCATCACAATATCAAATTGTTTGAAACACTTTTATGAATTGATTTGATATTCAAAAATAATTTTAAAAAGTAAAATATAATCCAAAATCTGTGTTGTATCACTATAGTTTTCATATCCGAAAAACTGTTTTCAGGGTTTAACTTTTTGAAAATTAGAGCACGGATCATTTTTTTTGTTCATTTTCTGATTTTACACTAGCTATTAGTATCATATCCCAAAAATGCTCGCTCTCTTAAAATCTTTTGTTTCCTTTTTTCAAAAACACAGTACCTGTGTTTAAATTCTAAGCCAAACGTAAGTTACATAACACTCAAAACAATAAACTACGTTGAAAATAAATGCAAATTCAAATGCTGCTTCAATTCAGTTGAAAATCAACAGATTAAAAAAATTTCATGAAACGAATATTCAGCATGTAACTAAAATGAATTCACTAGTATTATAATTCACATTACCAAAATATGAAATTCACGTGCTAAATAAAAAAGAATAGTAATAGAAAATGTACACTGGTCCATTAGTCTCAGCCACTCGGCGAGCTTCTCCAGCGGAGAGATGGTCAAGCGGCGCGTGGAGCGCATGGTCAAGGTCGAAGAGCGCGTAGCGTACGGGATACTTGAAAGAGTGGCGGACAGGGCGACGGCGCTCGTGCCACACGGTGCCTTCGTACAGAGAAACTGAGTCTGAGACGTCAGCGGCGGATGAAGGAGACGTCAGCGGCGGATGAAGGAGGCGGAAGACCGTGCGGAAGGGAAGGAGGAGGGAGAGAGCGAGGGAAGTAAAAAATGTGGAGAGGATTGAGCACAAGAGATAGAATGCTTCCATTCTCTTGTCGTTTTGTAGCGACAGTTTGATCGTTTTGAACTGGCCGATGAGGCTTTGACACTTTTCTTATTCTAGTAGTACACACTACACAGTTGGAATTTTATCCCATGCAACTAAAAAAATATTTTTTTTAATTAAATTATATTGGGTGGTTTTTTATTTTCTTAATTCCACCAAATATAACTGGCGTTTTATATTTTTAAGATGAGTTTGATATTTTTTATTTTAAAATTATATATTTATATTGTCAATAATAATAATAAAATAATAGTTACATAATTAACAATAAGTTGTTATTATTATATATAATGTCAATACAAATTTATATTAATTGAAAAAATTATTTTGATTTTTGATGTAAAGACTTAATAATTAAAAATATATATATTCTTGCTTTTCATTTTTCGATAATTTCTTTAATTATTTTCTTACTTGGTCAAATTTAACATGTATAATAGTTTTCTTTTTTGATAGAACCTTAAAGTGTTAAAACAATCATAATCAATTATTTCCGTTCCAATATTACATTTTCCAAAGATTAAAGGTTTTTTATTTATGATTTTAAATATTTAGAAATGAAAGGTTATAATTATGATTTTAAATACTTAAAAGAGATAATTGAAAATATATTAAAATGTTATGGATGTAGGAATAAAGGGTAAAAAAGAAACTGAATCTACCTAACCCCAGGGTTGCATTGGCAGTCAAAAGAGATTTATTGTTTTTTCTTAAGTTTTTGGGTTCAAAACCTTGAGGCCACTTATCACAATAACATTGTGGTTTACCTGGTCCTTTGGGTTTGTAAGGTGTTCAGTAAATCTCGGAGATTAGTTGAGTTATGTATAAGCTAGCCTGGACACCCCGATTACCAAAAAAATAAATAAATAAATACCTCTCGGTGGCCGAGTGGTTTGATAAGGATTATTGAGTGTATTACTCAAGAGGTTCTGAGTTTAAGTCTCTCCTCGATTACTAATAGGGGTAGCCGCTAGAGCTCTTACCTGATCAGTAGTTATAGGGTCTTCAGGGATTAGTTGATAGGGATTCTTGGGTGTATTACTCAAGAGATCCTGAGTTCGAGTCTCTCCTCGATTACTAATAGGAATAGCCAATAGAGTTCTTACCCGATCAATAGTTATACGGTCTTGGAGGATTAGTTAATATACACGTAAGCTGGCCCAAACACCTCCGATCATAAAAAAATATATATCCGGAAGTTCAATCTTCTTACCTTCCGCTTTTGAAACAAAGTATTCCTCTTTAACAGCCTTTAGATACAAGTTTTCAGCTTTTTCCCAATCGCCTTGGGATTCCTGAGCTACAAAATCTGCATAACCTGGAGGAAGACCAGGAAATTTATTTTGTAGGCTGGCAGCAAACTGTTTTAGCGTATCCTTGTCTGCCATGCTTTTTCCTCAATGTTGGAGATAGGTTTTAAATCTTTAATCAGATCCAAAATCTGATCCAGACTCCCTGAATCGTTTTACCCGAAGATGTTCTAACTCTTCCTCTAGTTGGGCTAGATCGCTAGAACCTTCAGTGTTTGGATCTTGAGATTCTCCAAACCAATATCCAATTACAGAACTTAAAAATATATATAAAAAAAAAAAGTATTCAAATCATGAATAAAATATATATATCTTCTATAAATAAATACTTTTTCAATAATTAGATATAATAATCTTATGATTATGGAACTGGAACATTTTCAAAAGCATTAGATATGACTTCTCATTTAAATTACTTTTTTACCCTTCAACCCGTCAGTTTTAACGTCCAAAACTGATGGCATGGGAGGTATTTGTGTAATATCCCACTTTTGGGTCTAACAAATTTCAGATACTTCAGGGGCGGTAGATGGTTGAAACTTGAAACCCAAGAATGTTATGTACCGGTGGATTATGTTGAAAATCACGAGGTTTCACTAAATTGAATTGTTTCAACCATACACCTTTGAATTTTTTTAGAGTTAATTGAAGAAGAGAACCTTGAAGATCAAGTGATTTGATTTTCTAATCTAAAGTATAGTAATAACGCTAAATAGTGTAACATATAAGAAACTTAAGGCCAAGTAGCAAATCTATTAGATATACGATTGATATAAAAAATTCTATTTTATGGGGCGTTTGGTTGAAGGTTATATAGGGTTATTGAGGTTTTGTCATCTTATATTACTTGATTATCATGTTTGGTTGTCAACATGGTTGTCAAGTAATATAAGATTTTAGTAATTTTCCATTATAAATAGTAGTTACTGATATGATTATCTCAATTTTCTTAAGTATTATAAGATTACTTGATTATTTTATTTTTGTTACAACTTTATCCTTTATTAATAAAATTTTGGACAATAATGCCCTTGTTTTAAAATCAATTTACATGAATCTGGCTTTTACAATTTTACCCCAATTAATTAACTTTTTGGACAAAATTACCCTTGAATTCAAAACAAGTTGCAGCCTACCCAAGCCACCACCCCACCCACTTGCCGCTATCGGCCACCAACAACCACCGCCGACGGCTAGTCGCCCTCGTCATTGGAACGGCGCACAATTCCAGCCTTCTGTGTGTCAATATGGCCGAAAAATGGTTAAATCTAATATAGTCGTTTCCGGCTAGATCCATCGATTTGGTCAAAAAACGACCAGATCCTTTTGTATGCCGTTAGGTTGCCAGTTGCTGGCGGCCAGTAGTGGCTGGGTTGGTGGGGGTGTATTGTTGATTTTTTAAACTTTTATTATGGGGTTGTTTTTGCCAAAGTTTTAAATGTAAGGGGGTTATTTAATCTAAATAATAATATTTAATTTGAAGACAATTCAGTAATTTGAATAACATATCCACTAATCTATTCCTCTCAACCAAACATATTAATATAATATACCCACCAATATATTCCAACCAACCAAAAATATTTCCCTAAACATTTCCAACAATCTTTAGGAGACGTTTGGTTGGAGGTAATATAAGATTATTGGGGTTATATCATCTTATATTACTTGATTATCATGTTTAGTTGTTAAGTAATATAAGATTCCGGTAATCTTGCATTACCAATAGTTGTTATTGTCGGTAATAATGGAGGTAATAAGATTACCAAAGTAATCTTATTTTTGTTACAATTCTATCCCTTATTAATAAAAATTTTGGACAATAATGCCCCTGTTTTAAAATCAATTTAAATTAATATACCATTTCAATTTTACCCTTGTTTAATTAAGTTTTTGGACAATAATACCCTTATATTTAAAACAAATTACAGACCACCAACGTTACCCAACCACCACTGCTGACAGCGGGCCAACCACTGCCGGAGTCCCTAAAAATGACCGAGAGTCACTAGGAGGCTTCGATATGGCCGTTTCTGGCCATATTGATGGCCAAAAACAGCCATATCAATCTAGATCCTTGGTCATTATCGGTCAGATCTTTCCATTTTCGGCCATCAATATAGCTAGAAATGACCATATTAGAGCCTCACGGTCACGGTGAGCTACTCACGGTGATTTTCGTCGGTGGTTTGCGGTGGCGACAGGCGGTGGCAAGGGATGGGGGTGATTTTGTTATAAATTAAAGTTTTATATAAGCAGGGGTGTTTTAGCTAAATTTGAAATATTGGGGGTTAAAAGAATTATTCAAAAACTAATAATAAAAATAATATTATATTAATATTTGGCAATTTAGTAATTTAAATAACATACCCACCAATTTATTCCCCCTAACCAAACATATTAATATAACATACTTATCAACTACCCAAACACATTTTTCCTAAAGATTCCCAGTAATCTTCAACGTAATATAAGATTTCAGTAATCTAACATTCTCAGTAATTCAATATTCCATGAACCAAACACACCCTAAAGATAATTTTTTTCTACTAATATAACATTCTTAATAATACAACATTTCTTAAACCAAAAACACCCTTGATATAATATATCAAGATTATAATACAAAGGTATTAATTTATTAACATAAAATGAATTATTAAACTGACACGAGCATATCCAAATTCTTAATCCTTTATTCCTTTGTGATACGCATGATGAATGAACTAATATCTATTTGAAATCAACACAATCACAACACAATACCATAGAACAATATGTATTAGATCCCTTCCTAGTACACATTAACGAGCTGCTAGTTACGGTTGGTCCAGGTGGGTCACCAACGATCCATAATCCATTACCCCAAAAAGCAACAGAGCTTACGTTACGTGTCTCTTCCCACTTAGGGCAATTCCGTAGTTCAAAATCCCGAAAAGCCAACTTGAATTGACATAATCACCCTTCAAAATTCTGACGTGGCTGCTTCCAATTTGATAGCGATTAATAAGACAGACGGCGATGTAAACAATGTTTGTGGGCTGTTAACATGTGGTAGTTCTCCCGCTTCTTCAATTAAATCGCCGAACGAACGCTACGAGAGCAACGTGAAAGAGCTCACAAAAACAAACTGGCCTCAATTTCTCCGCCCATTTTCCTTTCGTTTTTCGATATAAATTTAAACCACTGTCTTTCTTTCTTCCTTGCACTCTATAACAAGCAGCTCTCTCTATATTCTGTGAATCCAATGGCCGCGATTTTCCAGGGAATAGGAGCTGCCACTGCCTTATCACCGACACCGTCCAATTGCTTCGATTCTAAGAAGCTTCCGCTTCCTTCTCGCAGATCTCTCTCAGGTTCGCTGCCGACAGATACTCAATTACATTCGTTTTAAACAAATTAAATTAAGATTTAGAATATGATTTTTTGTAATTGAATTAGGAAGAAAAGCGAGCTTCGTCGTCGTCAGATCTGATGGAAGCACGAATTTTGGTTCGGGCTCGAGATCTCAGAAGGCTCAAAAGTTGATCACTAATGCAGTTGCAGTAAGTAATCATTAATCTCTAAGTTTTGTTTCTCTATAATTTTTCTATTCTGTTACTGAATTTGTTATTCTTGTGAATTTATAGACTAATCCTGATTCTGCGGCTTCTACTTCAGCCTCGAAGCCTGGGTACTTTTCTTGCTCTTTTACTCAAGTTTTTTTTTTTTTTTTTTTAGCTTTAGTTACTGATTAAAGTAGTTCTGGATTGACTTAATACTTAAGTATGTTTTATTTTAAAATTTAATATCAGTTGGTCTATATAACTATAGGATATTTTAATTTTGTTGTTACATAATCACCATTGATAAAGAACAAGAATTTTTATTGACATAGAGATTGTATGTTATGAGACTATACTAGTACTAAGAATTTCTGAGGCATGTTTGGCATGCATAACAGAATTGGATAATTGTATGAGCACAAATTCCCCAGAACTAATGAAATCTAATTTAGATTAAAGTTGATTAATATTTAAATTTTCTTTCAAATTAATTTAAATATTTTGTTTATAATACCACAATTAATTTTACTATTGGCTATGGAATTTTACAATATTAACTAATTAAAAAACATTTAAATAATATTTCTGATTACTCATTGAATATTTATGTACTTTTATTTAAAAGAATTAATCAGTTATGTAATTAAATAAATAAATTTAAAATTTAAAATATAACTCAACAATAAAGATTATATCCTGAAAATGTAGTCCAAAAAACATGGACAACCTGAACTCAAGGTTCTCAATGTGTTTAGTTATAGTTTGCAAGTGAGATTGATTGGTGGAGCAGGGATTATTAATCTTGTCTCTGTTAGAAAGCCGAACATGGGAACTCTCATTTACCAAATGCACCTTTACGGTATTCCTTGAAAGTGATTTTCTCGGATATTATCTAATACATTTTAGTTGATGTATCTTTCCTGTAAGATGTAGAATAATGATGCTTCTGAACCTACAGCTTTGGTGTTTCTCATGCCTTTGACAAAATATGCTCCATCCTCTGTGCAGTGGTCCAAAGTTATCCTTAAATGGAATTTGATTAGCTAGATAGAATCTAAAGGTGATATATATTTAAGTGCTTGGAATACCTCTGGAGTTATCTTTGTATTTGAGAGTCTAGTTAGGCAACAACTAAATTGACCTTTCAACTGTTTCAAGTTGCCAAATGGAATGAAATTGAGATTATTTGTTATAGCCATTATCTTCCACTAATTTCTAATTTATACAAGTGGAATGGTTTCAATGTTACTAATGGAGGATACAGTTAACTGATTTTTGCATTTTCTTTTCACAGGCATGAACTCTTGCTTTTTGAAGCTTTACGAGAGGGCTTGGAAGAGGAAATGGACAGAGATCCAAATGTATGCGTGATGGGTGAAGATGTGGGTCACTATGGAGGCTCATACAAAGTAACAAGAGGTCTGGCTACCAAGTATGGGGATCTCAGGGTTCTTGACACCCCTATTGCTGAGAATTCCTTCACCGGTATGGGCATTGGAGCTGCCATGACCGGCCTGAGGCCAATTGTTGAGGGAATGAACATGGGATTTCTCCTTTTGGCATTTAACCAGATCTCCAACAATTGTGGAATGCTTCACTATACTTCTGGTGGCCAGTTTAAAATACCAATTGTTATTCGTGGACCTGGTGGAGTTGGTCGGCAACTTGGAGCTGAGCACTCTCAACGCCTTGAGTCATATTTTCAATCAATCCCGGGAATTCAAATGGTAGCATGCTCAACTCCATATAATGCAAAGGGCTTGATGAAAGCTGCAATCCGAAGTGATAACCCAGTGATACTTTTTGAACATGTTTTGCTTTACAACCTTAAGGAGAGGATTCCAGATGAAGAATACATTTGTAATCTTGAGGAAGCTGAAATGGTTAGGCCTGGGGAGCATGTCACTATTCTTACCTATTCCCGAATGAGGTATCATGTGATGCAGGCTGCCAAAACCTTGGTTAACAAGGGGTACGATCCCGAAGTTATTGATATCAGGTCATTGAAACCATTTGATCTTCACACCATTGGAAATTCAATTAAAAAGACGCATCGTGTGCTGATCGTGGAGGAGTGCATGCGGACTGGTGGAATTGGTGCTAGTTTAACTGCAGCTATCACTGAGAATTTCCATGATTACTTGGATGCACCTATTGTATGCCTGTCTTCTCAAGATGTTCCAACTCCATATGCTGGAACATTGGAGGAATGGACCGTTGTTCAGCCTGCCCAGATTGTGACAGCAGTTGAACAATTATGCCAATAGCTGCAGTAGTTATGGCATAGTTGCGATTGTGGTAACCCTGTCTTCTCTCTATGCATATTTTCGCCCTTGCTGTTTTTTGTGGAATCTTTATTTAATCTCAGTTTTTTAGCAATTTTTGTTGTTAAAACATGCAAATGTGGATTAAGTTTGGTGGTCTTCTTTTTATTCAATGTAACTGGACTGATATCTTGCTATTAGGGAAGAAGGTGGCATGCTAAATGGTATTTTCTAATTATAGTTATTTATGTTTGATGAGCCAGTATGAACATTCATAGAATTATAGTATATTTTTCCAATTCCCATCTTTCTAAAGTATCTGTGATATGAAGATTTATGTCCTAGTAACTTTCCTATTAACGATTGCTGGCTGCTGCCGCAAGGACATCAGTTTCACTTTCTGACTTTGCTGGATACTACTGTTACTTCCAGCAAATGCCAGAAAATATTATCTTATTAGGCTGAATGACATTTTGACCCCCAGTCTATCACAAGAGGATATATCCCTCTTGGCAAGGTTTTAAACCAGGCTCGGGGTGAAACCCGACAAAGTGGTTGGGTCTCAGGTTGACCGGTTGAGCCGATGGGTCAAACTGGTGATGTCAGCATGTCCAAAGGTTTGAAATTCGGCAAAAACACCCCTAAAAATTATACATAAGTCTCTACAAGCTTGAAATCTTACAAAACACCCAAAATTACACCGTCAGCATCGACAACCTAGGCCAAATATGGTCTATTTCCGGCATCGACAACACATCCTATCACCACGAAAACACTCTCCTCAGCCTCGTGACCAAAACACATCTCATCCCACCATTGTTCCTCTCGCCAATTGGGTTGTTGCTATCGATTGATTTTTGTGATTTTCAGTCGTTTAACTTATTGGAAATCGTCTCCGTCATCACTTTTCAACTCATCGGCCCTTCCTCTTCAAAATCCCCAATATTCCAACCACCAATTATTCGTCGATCGTCGTCCTAATCTTAAGGGTTTGTCATGAAAAGTCAAAATTGGTAATCGATCCCGTGAAGGCCCCGGGTTTTAAAACATAGTCTCTTGGTTTTAGAAACACTCAAATGTGCTATGTTTGTTTAGCCATTTCTACCATATCCTATCTTTATCCTACCCAAAATACATATTTGTTTCCCAATTCCGAAAATCCAATTCTATTTTATTCTACTTTTTTAAACCCCCTAGGTTTATTAATTTAACTAAACACCCAAAAAAGTTTAAAAATTGACAAAAACACCCCCATCCACCCACATTTGTCAGATTCTGGTTATCTCCGTCTGAAGGTGGTCGGAATCTGATGTAACAGAGCACTATCAACTGGATCTGGTCGGTAGTGCATCGATTAAGCCTTTTCTAGCTAGATCCACCATGGATCTGGCCAAAAAAGGCTTAATCCACGGTCAAAGATCTGGCTGTAGTTGGTTGTCAACGACGGCAAAGATATGACTGTCATTGACCATTAACAACAGCCATATCTTTGGTTGTCGTTGACGACCAAACGTGGCCAGATTTGGCCATCAACAGCTACATCTGGTCGGTAATAGCCATATCTGGCATTAGGTCTGGTTGTAGATCTGACATTTTCCAGCAAGATCTATGGTGGATCTAACTGAAAAATGTCATATCGGCGCACGACCGACCAGATCCAGTCAGTTGTACGCCATTATGACGACTACCGGCCACCCTTCGGCGGTGGTGGCTGGCTGCCGACATTTAATGGGTGGGTGAGAGTGTTTTTATTAATTTTAAATATTTATTATAGGGGTGTTTAGCTAAATTAACAAACCTAGGGGATGTTTTTGTTAATTTTTAAATCCTATCTAGTAATAACCACCCAACTTAAGTTTTTTAAAAATCTTACCCAAAATAATAAAACAAACATAGCCTCAAATGTAGGGTTAAGCACGGGTAGCAGGTAGAACTGGAATTGGAACCGAAACCGAAACTGAAACCAGAACCGGAACTTACTCGGAACCGATACTATGCAGGTAGGTTTCGATTCCATTTTATTGGAACTGACACTATGTCAGTTCCGATTTCGGAACCGAAACTGGAACCTAGAAAAAGAACTTGTAGCGGGTACTCGGCTTGGAACCTGCAGCGGATTCCCGGTTTGGAGCCTATTTGGAACCAATGGCGGATACCCGGTTTGGAGCCTATTTGGAACCAATGGCGGATACCTAGAATGGAACCTGTTTTTGAACATGGGTTGAAATGAAATATCTATGAAGAATGGGGGGTCCATGTAATTTTACATATAAAAAAAAATTTAAATGGAAAAGGTTAAATTTTTACAATAATCTAATTAAATAAATATACGATTATACTTATTACATATAAACTACACCATATAAAAAACTTTAATATATTATAATATATTAATATTAAAGTTTTGATTAATTAAGTGTATAATTAGAATTAGCCAATTAGGATCCAATTAAAAGTGTTTTAATGTTATTAAAAGAATTATTTTTGAATAAAATAATATATTTGATTGAATAATAACATAATATTTAGTTATTTATTTCAATTATTAAATTCTAGGTCTCTACCTATCGCTACCATTTACTGTTCATGGTAACTGATCACTGGAAGGTTTGTTTCCCTATATTGAACTCAACAAACTCTTCTTTCATCCTATCAAAACCCTAAGTTTCCACAAATTATCTTTACCTGTTTCTGTTAACCAGCTAATCAAAAGCATAACTAAAATCCTTAATTTAGTTGATGCCCAGAAAGCAACCCAATTCCTCGGTGCCAGAAATCTTATCCTCCTTAAACATCAGTACAATCTGTTCTGTATCAACACAATGCCTTGAACCATTCTACTAGCTGTCTAAAACCACCAAATACTGCCTTTTAGCATTAGCCACTATAAATCAGAATTTAATTCTCTCAAAGTTGTACTTCATCAAGGATACCACAATGCAATCCCTTTGTCCCCATGATTGGGCATGTCAACCAACACTTCCAGTTGATTCAAAATTTTCTAGTCATATATAAGACAAGCAAACATAATTTTTGACCTTCCTTTCCTTTCATCAAACCAAAAGCTTGGCAAGGATACTTATACTCTTTCTTTGAGAAAGCATTGACAGAATCAGTTAAATTTAAAGAAGACAGCCTATAGCATTCCAGAGCATATACATTATATAGTGTAGCCATGTGTAGTGCTACAGAACATAGTAAATTCAGAAGAATGTAAGAAATCAATGACATCAACTAAATTTCCAAATATTATAAAATATTTATCAATAAAGTATCTATCAGAAGCATGCGGTAGTGAAATTTATAAAATAAATAAATAAACAGTGCAATAGCAAAAGAAATGCAGAACCTACCATAAAAGGACTGACATGTAATGGTTTAGCCACCAAATCTGAATTGGGATTAAAAACAAATGTTACTCTTTCGCCCCATGGTGTATTAGTTACCTATAGAAGAGAAACCGTCAATACCATCAGCAAAAACCTTCCAGCTTCAATCATAATTAGATTGACAATTAATATAAAATCAAAATAAAGAAGATGCAGAAGCTAATATGCTTGATTTATTAAATGGATGGCCATGACTTTAAGAACACCATGCTCCATGCACATTTCAAATTAAAGAAGCACATAATTTACATACCTCAGCAATGCATTTCTTCAAACATTGAGTAGAGTCTTCCACTCATAGCAGTAGTACAAACTCAAGGATTTTGTTCATATCCCACACTACGAGGTATAGTTAAGAGTAAACTGCAAATGCATCACAATATCAAAATGAATTGATTTGATATTCAAAATAATTTTAAAAGTAAAATATAATCCAAAATCTGTGTTGTATCACTATAGTTTTCATATCCGAAAAACTGTTTTCAGGGTTTAACTTTTTGAAAATTAGAGCACGGATCATTTTTTTTGTTCATTTTCTGATTTTCACCAGCTATTAGTATCACATCCAAAAATGCTCGTTTTCTTGAAATCTTTTGTTTCCTTTTTTCAAAAACACAGTACCTGTGTTTAAATTCTAAGGCAAACATAAGTTACATAACACTCAAAACATAAACTACGTTAAAATAAACGCAAATTCAAATGCTGCTTCAATTCAGTTGAAAATCAACAGATAAAAAAATTTCATGAAACGAATATTCAGCATGTAACTAAATAATTCACTAGTATTATTCACATTACCAAAATATGAAATTCACGTGCTAAATAAAAAAGATAGTAATAGAAAATGTACACTGGTCCATTAGTCTCAGCCACTCGGCGAGCTTCTCCAGCGGAGAGATGGTCAGCGGCGCGTGGAGCGCATGGTCAAGGTCGAAAGCGCGTAGCGTACGGGATACTTGAAAGAGTGGCGGACAGGGCGACGGCGCTCTGCCACACGGTGCCTTCGTACAGAGAAACTGAGTCTGAGACGTCAGCGGCGGATGAAGGAGACGTCAGCGGCGGATGAGGAGGCGGAAGACCGTGCGGAAGGGAAAGGAGGAGAGAGCGAGGGAAGTAAAAATGTGGAGAGGATTGAGCACAAGAGATAGAATGCTTCCATTCTCTTGTCGTTTTGTAGCGACAGTTTGATCGTTTTGAACTGGCCGATGAGCCTTTGACACTTTTCTTATTCTAGTAGTACACACTACACAGTTGGAATTTTATCCCATGCAACTAAAAAAAATTTTTTTAATTAAATTATTGGGTGGTTTTTTATTTTCTTAATTCCACCAATATAACTGGCGTTTTATATTTTTAAGATGAGTTTGATATTTTTTATTTTAAAATTATATTATTTATATTGTCAATAATAATAAATAATATTTACATAATTAACAATAAGTTTTATTATTATATATAATGTCAATACAAATTTATATTAATTGAAAAAATTATTTTGATTTTTGATGTAAAGACTTAATAATTAAAAATATATATATTCTTGCTTTTCATTTTTCGATAATTTCTTTAATTATTTTCTTACTTGGTCAAATTTAACATGTATAATAGTTTTCTTTTTTGATAGAACCTTAAAGTGTTAAAACAATCATAATCAATTATTTCCGTTCCAATTACATTTTCCAAAGATTAAAGGTTTTTTATTTATGATTTAAATATTTAGAAATGAAAGGTTATAATTATGATTTAAATACTTAAAAGAGATAATTGAAAATATATTAAAATGTTATGGATGTAGGAATAAAGGGTAAAAAAGAAACTGAATCTACCTAACCCCAGGTTGCATTGGCAGTCAAAAGAGA